AAATATTACATCACATGATGACAGACATGATGTTGGGGTCTTCTGAAGCAGATCCACTCACCAATACAAGACAGAATATATCTTAGATATAACTGTATCCTTTTGTAAATATCGCATCTTAACATCTCCGCTGATTATCTATATTGGGGTGTAGCTGATGCGTGTCTGATTAAAAGGCAGCACAGGAAACTCATTCCGAAGGCACAGGAACCCAATTAAGATGCTGCTTTGCTGCAGAGCTCATCATTTAGTCTGTGATTCCCTGGTGAATCCACATTAACATCCAAAACTCTTCAGAGGAACGGGTCTATATCCTGCCACTAAAGCAATGCAATCTTTGACTCCCTTTTATCCCTCAGACACCATTTCAACAGCATCTACAACGAATGCTTCAGTTCACACAAAGTATTAAAAGGAAAGTGCTGCCTCATGTTTGATGCTAAGACCTTTTAATTTCATCAGGATGGTAAATGGTTTAATACATTTGCAATTCATAGCATTTTCAATCTTGAATGAATAAATATAAACTATACAGCTTATCGGCAACATAAAACCCAGGCTTTTTATTATCTGAGCAACCGAATGACTTCCAATCAACTCTTTGAGATAGAGGCATGTCAATTCAGTGTCACGTGATCCTTCAAAAATTTATTCTAATATGCTGATTTGGTGCTCAAGAAACATTACTTATTTATATCAATTTTGATAAAAGGTATGCTGGTTAATATGTTTCTGGAAACGCATACATTTTTTTTCAGGATTCAAAAGAACAAGGTTTATTTGCGACAGAAATAAATTTAAAAAAACAGGCAAGCAAACCAAAAAGATATTACTGATCCAAACATTTTGAACACAAGTGTAAATTCATAAACACATCCATTAAATCTGACTGTGTGTGAGGGTTGAAGGAGGGCTGTCTGACACAAGGGTGTCATGTTATGTTAAGTCAGAAGTGACATGATCCTGATGAGTGTGAAATCCCGTTCCTACAAATCCAAATCCTTCTGAAACTAACAAAAAATGAACAGAAGTAATGAATTAGCCCAAAGGGAAATGCACACTTAATGAAATTTTCAATGGAATACTGAAATATCCCAAAATTGGCCCCCAAAAAAATCAGGTTTCTTCCGTTTATTTTTTGTTATGTTTAGGATCATAAGGTCAACCTATAGAACTCTACTGTTGTTAATCCTCATTGCCATTTTTAAGTGGTTATCATGGGGACCGTTGGGAGGGTCCTATAATGTACATTCACTTTTTCACATGGTTCACAATTTACGATCATTGGGCCTCATTCATGAAACTTGCGTAAATATAGGAGTAAATTTTGAGTAATTTGCGTGTAAAACAGACCTTCCCGAAAACTCTCCTCCTGATTCACAAACGCTTCGTAAACGTCCGATTTGATAGTTAAACATGTGTATGTTAATGAATTCCAATAATTCGTAAATAGGGCGCTCGTGCACGCTCATTCACAATTAGCATAATCCCCGCCTATGAATTACAGCTACGCAAATTGCGTGTCCAGGAATGCAGTGGAATATTCTGATCTACTTTCTCAGGTTTGGCTCCAGTATATTGCATAAATGCAAAAAAGATTAATAGGCCACATGCCTAACAATAAATATTCAATAACGCGTGTCCACCAAAGAGTTTTTAGCCAGCTGGAAAAATGTCAGGTGCTCTTCTTAAAATGACCAGCTGGTGACGCTTGAGAACGTTTTGGTGGCACAGCGTTTTTCCAGCTGAGACGCTTTAGTTGCTATGATTTGGAATATCCACGGCGGCAACGTATTACTAGTATCTCATTTTGAAGAATATTACTGAATATAAAAATGCAGTAACCAGTAATATTGACTTCTCCATTGTTGTAGGCAGTCATTGTACAAGTAGGATGCAGACATCCCACCTCTCCCGGAAGCTCCGGGAGTCTCCCACATATTAATAGTGGCTCCCTGACGCCCGCAAATTAGATACAATATCCCGGAAATCGTGGAGGCAAGGGAGAGAACGAGCAAGAGGAAAGAGCGCCACTTAAGCGAGAGAGAGACACGTAGTGATATATAATCATAACCGTAGCCAGCTATGAGATCACCATATGAGTGTCTGCATGTATAATTCAGTTTAAACAGTTTGCAAGAATGTTTAGCGACCGTGGTATGAGAAAGATCGCTGCGAGACGCTGGCGGAGTGAATGAATCTTGAGGGCGCGGGCGCAGCCTCCGCCAACATGGATCCATGTTGCCAGATCCAGCGATTATAGGCGTTTTTGGACTTGTCTTTTCCACTTAATTTGACACTTAGAAAGTTAATAGAGTGAGAAGTTGCAATTCAGGGTCAGCGATACTCTTATCTTATCTTACTTGCAAAATATTTGAAATAATTTTGGTTTATTTTTTAATTTTTCGGTTTTTATTTGTTTTAATATCTGGCAACACTGTATCGCCATCAAAAGAGTTATCAAAAGAGCCCATGGACATGTTATTGCTGACAGGATAGCACATTCTGTAAGGGAAACGCAAAAAATATCATATTATCTATTAGAAACGTTATCAAAAACAGTAGAATTTAACACTAGTAAACAGATCTGTAGAACAAGTAGGTTACAGAATGAAATGAAATACGCAAACACTAGCCATGAAGACGTCTATGCTATTTTATTCAGTAGTCGTTACATTTTCACGAAGTCATGCTAAAAAAAATCAATAAGACAAAGTTATCATAGAGCAATGATTATTAATGAAAACTATAACAGTAATATGGATTGTTGCATGAATAATAAACAACTGAAAATTATCCACCCCTAATCTATAGTAAATATTAACAATGCAATAAATAGACTGGTATAATTTGAGAGTGTTTATCCTTTCAAAACAGAAAACATCTTTCACAAACATCTTCATCTCGGTCTCACCTCACTAATTTTCAAACCCTGGCTATGGCCATGATAGTAAGTTTTGAATTGCAACAGAATGAGCATCTTCTGATGATTGGTCTCATATGTGCCAAGTAGATCAAACAGTTATCTCTTATTTCAAGCAAAATTAATAAAGTAATTGACACAGACTGCTATGACTTTGAGCCATCCAGTAAAACGCTCAAATCTGCAAAGCAAGCCACATCACAGAGAAAGGAAAGTTTGTAAATGAACTGCATGCATAAGAGTTGCATTACCATTTATTTTAGCCATTTGAGACAGAAAACATAATACTAAAGTAATGAATGTATGTATGTGTGTACTGTAAAAAAAAATCAAATATGTGCTCAAAAATGTTCTATAAAATTAGTTTACGTAATCAAACATGCCATAGAACCTTGGGAGGCTATATTACTAGTATCTCATTTTTAAGAATTAATCATTTTAAGAAAAATATAAAAAAGCAGTAACCAGTAATATTGACTTCTTCATTGTTGTAGGCACTCATTGTACAAGTAGGATGGTTGGTCACTATTTGTTCCACCCGTCCTCTATTTACGGCTGGGTAAATAGTGACAGTGACGAGCGCTGCGTTTTAGTTATCAACTCAAAAAATAAATAAATAAAACATTTTCAAAAAGAGGGCAAGGGCAAATGAACTTGTAATTATTATGGCAGTGCATAAAAATTCAGTGTCATCAGTTTGCCAAAAAGAACACAGAACATTTTACGCACCATTTACACCTGGTAAGGAGCAGGTGTACATTTCTTTCGTACCAACTAACATTTTGAAAATACGAACATTTTCATGAATTCGAAAGTTTACGTCAGAACGGCTTTATGAACTATTTACACAAAAAAATGTTCTGCTCGTGTTTCATGAATGAGGCCCATTGAGAGTAGGTTTGGTCTGCAGAAAGCAAAATCTAATCTAACACAGCCAACAAAAACACTCAGATCACAAGCATTGTGAAACCTCAAAGTTACTCCACCTTTGGTATCACTGCGTCTCTATTTCACACACAAACATGAAGTGCTGACACCATCAGCTCATACTAACGCTGTCACTGTCACCGCAGAGAAATAAACACACACACTACTCCAAAACATACACACACAGCCTGAATCTCCACATCACCCCCGAGTTGACATCAGCTTCCTTAAAAATGACCCACTTAATAAGAGCTGACATCTGTGTCATCTCTCTGCTAAAGAGCATCTCACGTCGCTGACGTGCCTTCAGCAGCTGAAGTGATGTCAGGATCTGAGCTGTGAAGAAATCTGAAGCAGCGCAGGGATCAGAAATCCTGTTAAACACTTCTGATTCCTATTTCCCCCAAGGACTTTTTTTCCAATAAAAAGCCTACACCCCCGTCTGAAGTCAGTTTAAAAAACATATTCCAACAGACAGGGCCGTCCTTAACTGACGCGGGGCCCGGAGCGAGGTAGGGAGCGGGACCAGGTGCAACCGCACCAGTTGCACCCCCCTAAGGACGGCCCTGCCAACAGATACCAGGCCCAAAAAAACCTAAGAAAGATCGTTTAAAAAAAATTAACTGCCACAAATGAAAACAACAAAAATATTGATGATGCTAAATGCTTTGCCATGCTAAGCTATTACACATTTGTATTTAAAGATTGTACTGAAATCACACATTTTTATTCCTATACATGCTTTTTGATCATTTCTTCAGCTTCAACAGTTTTTCTCACTTATTTTCTCCACATGCATTTAAAACAACAAAAAAATCCTTAAGACTTAAATCAAACTGACCTGAGATTAATCACAACATTTGGTTTGATGCAAAAACGTATTTGAAAATTAGACTACTTCGAGATTATTAGTATAGGGTATACTATTTTTGCATATTTAAATCACTGTCTTTTGGCATCTACAGAAGCAAAATCTTTGTAGTTGTCTGGTATATCTAGAAAAAGTTACATTAGCTCTAAAAATCAACTTCTTTTGGAAGAAAATTAATTTAGTTTTTACCTCCAGGACTCTCTTGCTGCACTCTATATGGTACTGCACTGCAGTCTCAGGTAACAAGAACTCAGTAACAGTGTGTGCGTGTTTTCTTGCCTTTCTCGATGCAGCTGAGCACGAGGTTGAAGAGCTGTGGGGATCTCTCCTCTAGTATCTGCTGATGTAGACTGACATATCGCAGTGTCCACCAGGGCAGCAGCTATTTACAAACACGCAAACAGAGAGACAAGAACACAAGTTACATTTACACTACAGTTCAAAAGTTTGTGGTTGGTGATATTTATGTTTTTGAAAGACGTCCCTTTTCAATTTAAAATAACATTTTAAAATGTAAATTTATTGGCAAAGCTGAATTTTCAGCATCAATATGCAAGTCTTCAGTGTCACATGATCCTTCAGAAATCATTCTAATATGCTGATTTATGTGGAAACCATCATTTTTTTTTTTCCAGGATCCTTTAATAAATGAAAAGTTCAAAAGAACAGCATTTTATTCAAAGTAAAATCTTTTGCAACATTATAAATGCCTTTACTGTCTCTTTACGGTCAATTTAATGCATCTTTCCAGTAGGGCTGGGCGATATATATAAAGAAAATTATATCTACATTGTCAATTTTTACGATATTCGATATATATCTCGATATGTTTGCATTTGCTTTTAAATAAATAAAAAAAACATGATTTTCTTTTGTCCCCATTAAAAAAAAAAAAATGTTTAGATAGAACAGCTATTTTTTCAAAGTAAATACAAAATGTTTAGTGCAAATTTAAGCAGTTAAAAAAAAAATCTAGACCAAGTGATCACTTACTGCTTTATATTAAATGAACATGTAACTGAAGTAATGCAAAACAAGTACAGAAAGTGAATTTTGTCAACTTTTTAGTGCATGCAATTGACAATTTACACTGTGCAACTGGGGGAAATAATTAAACTGGAATAAGTATTTTTTACAAGTTTTTAGCAAAGAACACAAGTCTGTCAACGGTCTCTGGTTTAAGAGAAGCTCTGTGGCATGAAACTATGATCCCACTGGCACTAAAAACCCTCTCAGATGGGGAGCTAGTTGCTGAAGCACATATGTATTTCTTATATATATATATATAAATTAATACCAAAGACTTATGCACTCTCTCCGTCTATATTAGGAAAACTGGTAAAACAAATTAAAAATATTATAACCGTGAAATTCCTAATAGTAATTCCAAATTGCATTAGCCTATGTTTCTCTATTCAAACAACAGCTGTTGAGTAAGTGCATTTATTTAGCGATCACAATCGCAAACAATACAGTCGAGAACTCATGACAGAACACAGACCGGCTGAGTGATGCTTTTATTTAGATGCTAAACTCCAGCTTGTTGGTGTTTTCAGATCATCGGCGGCGGCGCTTCCGCAATGAGGAGCGAGCGTTTGCGCATGGTTGCCAGATTGCTTAAAATAAGCAAAACATCGGGCAGAAAATGTATCCTTGTAACAGCGAAGCTCTGATTCGAGGATTTGAACTCGTTATCTGGCAACCGCACTCATGAAAGCTCACGTAGTAGAGGCGTGTAGAGCAGTCAATAACATGTTGTCTTCTTTTTTGGACATTCGGCACGTTCTTTTGGGAAAGTATGCTTGAATTTGAAATATTAGATATTCACGATATTTTCTAATTTTACATCGTCGTCAAAATTATTGCGATATTATCGCTAATATTCGATATATCGCCCAGCCCTACTTTGCAGAATAAAAAATTATTTTTCAACAACAACAAAAACAGTAGTCCCCAAACTTGAACAGTAGTGTACAGTACACACATTCACGTCGAGCAAGATACCCCCTATAAATGGACATTTAAGATTGTTGAAGAAATGAACTGTAAAAGAACTGTAATTTCCTAACACAACATACTGTTAGTTCATCTGTTCTAGACAAGCAACATTTATGCGCTATGACGAGTAGTAAATGTGGTCCACTTTCACTCAGAGTTACACAGTCAAGGATGAAACGATCCACATTGTAACACTTGTGTCTCTAAAACTAAACAAAACAGGAGAACCTGGCTTCATTCTGTGTATGCAAACAAACTCACAGAGCTGTAATGTTCAGAGAGAAACATTTACTAACTTATTTCCACACAACACACAAACAGTCAATCTGTATGCTGGTGTATCTGCCCTGGAAATGACCAGAGTCAGAGTTTGTGTTTGTTTGTTCTTGCACTAATGAAATAACGTTCTGGAACATGAAGCAGTGGGGGGTTTGTGACATGCCGTGCGCCTCTCCCTCTCGCTCAACTAATCGCGGCAGAAATATTTTCATCCCTGTGCTTGTAGTCGTACAAGTGAATATATTAAATGCATTAGTAACGCCTGTCTTACCACATAAATATTCACAGAAAGAAAAAAAAAAGACACATGGTACAGCATGTGTAATGGCTTCATCACAGTTATAATACTGTAAGAGAGTGCAAGCCCTGCTGGGAAAATAAACAGTTTAATATTTACAATATAAATAAATAAACCCAAACAACTGTAAGAGACTAAGGCTATACTATACTGCATTGAGAGAGAGAACAGTGAGACTCATGGTTTTGAATGCACGAGAGCCACATCTATCTTACACAGAAATGCTCCTATTCTGACTGACAACATGAAACAGTAAGAACTACACCTTCAGTTCTGCTAATGATTATTTTTAAGGTTTCCGAGAAAGTGGGAAGCACATTTAATGTATAATGAATCAATCGCTGACGTTATCGACAGGCTGCTCCTGTGGAAGTGGGCTGCAGAACTCCTGTGACTTTACAATTAGCACAATTAATGTCTATACTGTGCATGGCAATGAAATGGTATCTGGGATGTTACTTTTCTTGCTGTAATGAGCCATCAGCAGTTTTAGAACAGAATTGAATCATTAATTGCCACATGGTAGGTGACATCTGAGAATAACATTTTAAATAGCAGTCGGTTCTTCACACAAAACAACTGTAGGGCTAATGAAGAATGTAAATTATGCAAGTTATATGGATGATTTTTGCTGTTTTATGACTTTTTTTTTTGTCATGCATGGAGCTTGATGGCTTTATTACTATACATTTACTGATCTAAGGTGCCATTCAAAAGTTTGAGGTAAGTAAGAACTTTTTCTTTTAAATTCAGCAAGGATGCATTAAATTAATCAAAGGTGACAGTAAAAACATTAATAATGTTGCAAAAAAGTTATTTCAAATAAACGCTGTGCTTTTGAACTTAATTTATAAAATAATCCTGAAAAAAAAAACATCATAATTTCCACAAATATATTAAGCAGCACGTTTCTTGATAATATTGACAATATTAAGCAGAATGAATCTTGAGCTTAATATCAGCATATTAGAATGATTTCTGAAGGTGACACTGAAATTATAATATAACTGTCAGAATTTTTTTCAGGTCCACCTGAAGAAATTACACTGCACTTTTATTGTTTGTGTTAGCCAGACAGTGGACTTTTTTCCCATGTGAATATAAGAATTTGTAAACAACTACACAAACAACCACTCATCCTGCTGTTGGAGGATCATGTAACAAATATGGGACTGAAGTAACACAAACTCTAATGAAAAAGTCTAATGATCCGCTGCTGTGTTATTGGTTAGGCCTTGACACACACAGAGCCAAAAGAATTTAAATTATTAAAAATAATTTAATTGTTATTTCTGACAGCCCTTATAATTCTTCATCGTCTCTCTCAGCAATGCACACAGGAGCATGGAGTAACGACCTCAAACATATGAGAGAAATTAAAAAGTGACAGTTCCTTATTACCAACACACACAGTGCCATATTGAGTAACTGTTCAAGTAAACCGCAGAACACTCCTTTCCCCTAACACCAGTTTCCCACCCATATTCAGTTTCCCTTATCTTGTTTTGATATCAATTCCAATCAATATTATCTACTTGGTACGGCAAGTGATACTGTCTTGCTGTTGCAGTGCATTGGTGTGTCGTCTTGTGTTCCAAACCAAGGTGAATTCTACTGCATTCCTGCAGTGGTGCAAAAAGTGATCATGTATCTCACCTGAAGGGTCTCCAGTTTGGGGCCGCAGTTGACGAATATGACTCTGGTCAGCAGCAGCAGGAGGGGGTTGGAGACTAGACTGTAGACAGACTCTCCATCCAGCTGAAGACTGGACAGCACAGCCGTGTTCAGGGCTGCAGGCTGTGAGTGAGAGTGAGAGAGTGAGAGTGAGAGTGAGTGTGAGTGTGAGTGAGTGTGAGAGTGAGAGAGTGAGAGAGAGAGATAAATGAGGAAAGGCAGAGAGAGAGCGAGAGAGAAAAATGATGATGAAAGATTACAGAAAATTACAACTTCTCACAGTATTAGGGACATCTAATATTAATTTATCATGGTTTTACAATAATAATGAAAACTGCAACAACCATGGTATTGAGTTAAACTGTAAATAAATTACTAATTAAACCTGAAATTAAACCACAAACTTCTTAATACTTTTCTCATCTACTGTATGAAAAAACAAATTGCCTAGTTTAAGACAAATTGCTGGTTTGTAGTTTAATAAACTCTTTTCCTAAAAAATGGAAGAAAAAGTATTAAATTCATGAAATTTCTCAATTTATGGAAAATATAAGTTTATAAAAAAAAAATGCAAAATTAGGCAGTCTCCAGTGACAGTTAATTTACTGCATTAAGTTGCAAATTATTTTGCAAACTATTTACAAATTCTGTAGGTTTTTTTTAACACCAAATTTGTATAATATTAAGTTACTATATTTAAAAGACCTGTGCATATTGAAACGGATCACGCAATCAAACACAATGGGCTAACAATGATGTCAAGTTATTTTCTCATTGTTTGTAATATCAAAACTTTGAGCTTTTGTTTTTCCATTTTGGAATTTGTTTTCATTTAAGATTTTTTTGTTGTTGTTCTGTGAGGTGGGTTGTGAGAAAGGGGAAAAATTGTAAAATCAAGAGTAGCATTGTTAACTAAAATACCATATTTAAGTTTAGCAATATAAAATAAACAGCATTTAATCATGGCAAATTTTAGTAATAGGGTCACAAATACATATCAAATTCCTAAATTCATATTAAACTAATTCAACAGAATTAACAGAACAAAATGACTTCATTTAAAGAGTTTCAGGCCTTATTTTTGTTATTTATTGAATTCATTTTATGAGGCTTATATTCAGACCCTACTGATGGTAAGTGCCTTCAGTCCATCCATCTCTCTCCATATGTGCTGCTCTCAGTCTAATTTAGAGGGCCCGTGCTCTCTAGGACAAGGCTGATAAATCAGCAGCTTTAGAAAGGTGTGAGACAGCAGAAAGTGTCACACACACACACACACACACACACACACACACACACACACACACACACACACACACACAGTGCCTCTCCAGGGATCTACGAGGCCTCCGTGGGGCATTAGGGAGAAGAATCTCTTCACCTCTGCATAATTAGGAGCCGTAAGAGGTTTCATTAGCAACCCTGCAGCCCTCAACACACTCATTATCCAGAGCACTGACCTGCCCGGAGTCGCCATCTCCTTACGTTCCATCCATCATACACACATACATCCCACACACACACATCACATCATTTCACATGAGCTTTTAGCTGTTTTTTTTCCCACTCGTTAAATGTGCTGATATTAACAAAGCACTACTTAACCTAAAGAATACACACACTTACACAAAATGATTCTTGAGGTCAATTAGATCATTTAAAAAAATATATCAAGAAAATATCGGAATATATATATTTATACAACAGATCTTTTTGGTCCTTGAATCTGATTGGCTGATGGGGTGAGATATTCTAGTGAGAACAGAATTTCAACAACAGTTTCACCGTTTGTATCACTACGCTTGTGGTATTTCTCATAGCGAGTGTCATGGCGGTTGCCCAGATCCACTATAAATAACACTGTTTTTGTGTCATGGAATGTAGCTTTTTAGATGAGGATGTACTTATTTAGACTTAAAATATGTGGTATGTTAATAAAGATTACATCTATTTGAAAATTTGCGTCGAAGTTTTCAGAGATGTGAGCTTCAGGATGTCAGCGGCTGTTCAGCGCTCATAAACCCACCGAGAGCAGCCACACCTCAGCCAGATCTTCTGTAATTTGCTGCTGGCTCTGATGTCTCTATAGTGGTTAAATATGAGAGATAATTTGTTTTGGGTACATCTAATGGCAGTATTTGGTCTCAATCTATTATTTGATTCAGAGCAAATAGTTTTGGCTGAGGGCAAAATTTCTTCATGTTATTAATTATATTATATGTAATATTAACGCTGTATATCAGAGCACTGCTTTGTACTTTTGACTGAATTGCCAAGCAACTTTTATGATGGCTGCTGTTGTTGCGGTTTATTAAATATTATTCAATAAATAATATTTTATATAAATAGTAGTATTTGATAATAGTATTTTGTATTAAGAAACGGTGTGTGTGTGTTTGACTTTGTGATGGTAATTTTAGATAGATTGTTCCACCATTAGATAGCAACAAGCAGTAAAGACTTTTATATTGAAAGAGACTGAAACAGGGCTGTAAACAAGGAAGTTGTTTTTACTTTCAAAGACGCAGCCAACAAATACACAGTGCCGAGAAGCTTTCCTCAGCGGACATTCAAACTAATGTTTTATTGAGAATATGAGATTGCTCTGAAGAATGAATGCTGTATCAGATGCAGCCATTTCGCACGGCTACTCGTGTGATTCTGCTCGTATATATGCAGGGCTGTCGCTAGTGGGGTGAAAGGTGGTGCCGATTATAGGGGCCCACGGCTGAGGGGGGGCCGGTGATCTCAACCAACTGGCTGAAGCCAGCCTAAAAAGACGCTCAATTATTCAGACACCAGATATCATTTTTGATATTTTTTTACTAGAGGGTGCAGGACACTATAGTTCACTTATGTAAGTGAGTATAGCAAAATAAAAGTAAACCGTGACATATTATACCCAAAAATTCTTCATACAGTGGACTACCAGTAAAACTGATAAAAAATTTGGGCCACTTTGATCTGACCATGTTTTGCTTAAGTGTTTTTCTTTAATTGCTAATGTGAACTTTTTACACAACAGACTGAACAAAATTAATAATTTCTTGGTAATTGATTGACCTAATTTGGTATTATCTAATTGAGTACTTAAATTTAACAGCTGACAGCTATTCAACCTAACTCATTACATACCTTTCTATCAAAGTTAACTGACATTATCAAGATGAATTTGTTCTGACAGTTTAACTAGTTCTTGTCATATTTTATTACCATTTTCTAAACTATAGCAAATAAACTGTGATAATGTGAGAAATGTTGAAGGTGTCTGAATACATTTTGGTTTGACTGTATATTTAATTTTTACAGTGAAGACTATGCAGTGCTATTTTACATTTGATTATTCGGTTTCTGTACCTGGACACCTACAAACTTGAAAAAACTTAAACACTGTGTAAATAGCACAAATAAATAAATAGAACGAACATACAACATGCGAACATACGCATGCGCACGTACGCGCACACACACGCACGCACACACGTTGAATATTTCGGCCAATTACAGACAATGACACTGGTCGTGTATAATCACAGGTGCATCATGGTACTGTACCTGTGAGAATTTCTGGAGCAAAGCTTCAGGCAGAAAATCAGAGACGTGGAGCTCAACTGGCGGCCCGGTCCAATTACTCCGAGCGAAGAGGTTCAGACACCCCACTGCCAACACCAACAGAGCAGTTTCTCTACAGCAGACAAGAGATCAGGTTCAGAAACATGCATGTTTGAGAGCTAATGTCATCAGGTAAATGTTGTTTATTTCTGAAAACATCTCCACACTTTTGTGGCTTCGGACTACACGACTCTGGATGCAAATGTACAAACCTGAAGGAACGAATCGGGTGGCAACAATGTGCCGCTTGCTGAAATCAAAGACCTGAGATTGTAATTCTGCTCTACGGTGGAGTCAGTCCCCAGATGCCATTGAGAAAGGACATATTTACATGCGCACACATCCACGCATTCACTGCGATCTACAGCGCTGATGTATTATCAAAGGAGAGAAATGGCTGTGAGTCATGAATCTCATTGTACATTTTAGTCCCTTTAAAATAATACATGATGGATAAATGAGAATGCACAAGAACACAACAGAAAGAGAAGGTGAGGACAAAAAGAAAAGGGGAAAAAACAAATGACATCTCTCTGCAATCAACAGCACACAAACATCAATCTACCTGCATCTAATCTCTCACCAGAAAGCATCACTCATTATTCAAGCCACTCCACCCATCTACAACTACTTTCTGCCTCACTAACAGAAGCCACAATGAGAGAGGCTGTATAGAAAGAAAATAATGCGAGAGGGCACGATCAAGCCGAGGAGAGATAAGAAGAGAGGCACGGCTGAGGAGCGCAGCGCAACCCCCTTTCCTCAACTCGTTCTTTCTCTGGAGAGAAAGGATGTTAAAGTGGGCTTATCGAAAATTAATAATTTATGCCTGAAAGGAGGGGGACAGTGTTTGAACTCTTCTGTATGGTTTTATTCATTCTCAACAATAAAACGCTCCACTCAGCTGAAGCCACCATCAACCCGCTAAAAGTCCTTACGTGGCGCTACACAACGCACTTGCAGTACAATCAGCTTCCTTGATTATAATGGAAGCATTCTAGTTTTGTGTTTCTCGCTCTGTGTGAATGTGCGAGTGTGTGAATGAACATTCTGTCATCATTTACTGCACGACTTTCTACTGAAGAATGCAAAAGAAGATTTTTTAAAAATGTTTTTTTTTTGCAAACTCAGTGGGGTCCAATGGCGCGTGCGTGTGAGAGAGAGAGAGAGAGAGAGAGAGAGAGAGAATGTATGTATGTATGTATGTATATATATACACCCATCAATAATTCTTCCACAGAGACACTATAAACAGACTAAAAAAATCGCAAGGGTGCGATATGAGCTAAACTCCTGTTAAATAATTCATAGCAGATTATATTAGACAGTACAAATAAAAACAATTAATCACAATAAATAAGATATTTCACGCCGTAAAACAAAACTCATTTAAATAGTGCTATTTAACTGTAAATCCACTGCAATAAAAGACCAAACCTCCTGTAATTTAACAGGCACAATGAGTGAATCTAATTGAGGACATCTTTAGGCAGTAGTGTAATTTAAATGAGTAGTATTACAGTTTCACTAACTACATTAGTCCTCATTTGCATTTAGATTCTAATGAATTTAATTAACTCGCATAAATTTCACATTTAAAACACAGAACATGTATGTGCCTTCAGCATTTCAAGTCGGCATGAAATCAAAATGGACAATTCTTATTTTTTGATGGAATACTGTAGCGTTTATTATAAATAATTTATCCATGAACTTCATTATTTTTTTTTTTTTAAATCATGTGCCCTCGTAATCTTTAATCAAAAACGTTAACCTCCCCTCCCCCTCAAAATGACTCCTCTACTCTTCCGGTCACGAGCTATGGCGCAAGGGCGGAGCAAGTGACGTGAGGGGTAAACGCTGGGATAAACGACAGGGGGAAAAGCTGAAGCTGATGCTTCACTTTATATCACTGACTCCAGTCATGAGGGAGTACGTTACCCTTAAACATTGAAAAGATATTAGGATATTATGACAACATTACTCTAGGACATCACAAACTAATTTTTTTAATGAATATGACTTAACCTGATGGAGGACGCGCTCAGCCATTCAGGCAGTCTCTCTCTCTCTCGCGCTGTTTAGGCATGTTTTGTATGAGGGGCCGTATAGGCCATATTTATTGAAAAGCCTCTTACAAACACTACTGAAACGAAAAACATTGATCAACCTTAGTGAAATTCATTCATATGCTGTAAGAGGTTTTTCAGTTATGCATATGAATGTATTTCACTAAGGTTGATCAATGTTTTCACTAGTGTATGTAAGAGGTTTTTCAGTTATGCATATGAATGTATTTCACTAAGGTTGATCAATGTTTTCACTAGTGTATGTAAGAGGTTTTCAGTAATGCGTATGAATGAATTTCACTAAGGTGATCAATGTTTTTCGTTTCACTAGTGTTTGTAAGAGGCTTTTCAATAATTATGGCCTATACGGCCCCTCATAGTTTTGTGCCGTTGATCGTCGTCGTCATCCTTAATAAATAAAACATTTATTCATGCTTGGGGGTCGGCGGTGAATCCAGTGGAGAGAAATCCCCCACCACTAACTGCAAACTAGCATTCAGATCTGCCTCTATTTTGTTAGTAACACCCCAACTTCCAACGAACCAATCAATTCCCGAAGGACGAAATCAAGTCCCGCCCTCTCATTTCAGATGCCTTTTCACTCGGATATACGTCACAGTAGAGAAGAAAAGACAATCGCAACTTCCGTTTCATGCCGAATTTAAGAGTACAATGCATATTTCTCATTATGGTGAAGATCATGGAGCACAGTTAAATGTTCTGTGTTCTTTATACAAGCATAGTTAAAAACAGAAAGCCAGCTGGCATATGATCTAAATCCTTACCTGTCACTCCTCTGGTCTTCAGTGGCATTGCTCAGGTAAGACAGCACCTGTCTCTCCAGATAGGCCTCAATACTGTCATCTTCTTCAGGAGCACCTCCCAGCAGCCCCTGCACCGCAGAGCTGAAGAGCACGGCCTCGAAATCTCCCTCACACACCAACTGCAGCAACGGCCCTCCATCTGAACACACACAAGTAGAGAGTAGCTAAGACAGTCATTCAAACAAACCAATGCGTTTATGGTTTGTTCCAGAAAGCCACTTTTTAGCACAAATATCTCAAGTGCCAGTGCCTCAAACAGAGAGGAACACGATTCTCAGCTCATTGTCATATTTTAAAACTGAAACGAGAGCAGAACACTCTGTTCTCAATCTCTTTAATAAGAACTCAACTATGAGCATTAGGTGTACAGTATGTGTGTGAAGAGGTTTAAAATATGATACTGGCTTCTAGACTACAGGGGAAAGCCTCAGATGAAGTTACAAAAACAATCGATCACAAAAATGAGTGAGTGAGTGAGATGAGATTGGACTTTTTCAGGTTGAAGCTCTAACAACTTTACACAAACGTGTCACAGAGGATCCTCATTTTTAATGTCGCGATTGGTTATGGTGTCACTTTTGATGACACTCTGCAGTCTTAAGTGTTTTTGTTTTAGACACATTATTAAAAATTAAAAATTTTTTAACCTGAAATGTTTGGAATTTTTACAGGAAAAAAGTTAAAACACTACAATAAAAACTTGTTCATTGGTTAACTACGTTTAGTTACCATATACAGGTGCATCTCAATAAATTAGAATGTCGTGGAAAAGTTCATTTATTTCAGTAATTCAACTCAAATTGTGAAACTCGTATTAAATAGATTCAATGCACACAGACTAGTAGTTTAAGTCTTTGGTTCTTTTAATTGTGATGATTTTGGCTCACATTTAACAAAAACCCACCAATTCACTATCTCAACAAATTAGAATACTTCATAAGACCAATAAAAAAACCATTTTTAGTGAATTGTTGGCCTTCTGGAAAGTATGTTCATTTACTGTACATATACTCAATACTTGGTAGGGGCTCCTTTTGCTTTAATTACTGCCTCAATTCGGCGTGGCATGGAGGTGATCAGTTTGTGGCACTGCTGAGGTGGTATGGAAGTTGAATTACTGAAATAAATGAACTTTTCCACGACATTCTAATTTATTGAGATGCACCTGTACTGTAACAGTGTAATTTCACTGTAAATGTATGGTCTTTACAAGTAAAAACTATTAATTACTGTATAATTTACAGTGAATACAAGTAAAAGGACACTGTAAGAAAAACAAATCCTGTGTGCTGGTAATTTTCTGCTGAGTCATAATCCGTTTTGCTTACAGACATTTCCTTGAACCCTAAAACACAACACAATGCAATGCATCATTCAAAATATGGGTAAAACACCTGTGAAATCAATACGGAAATTTCTTCACAATAATGCACTATTTTTATGAACTTTTCTTAGAGTGGTCGTTCCCAAAAATCCCTGCAGAAAACATGACATTTTATATAATTAATTTGCTACATCATTTGGTATGAACAAAGATGTCCATTTACTCACAAATGAGTAAACGAACACCCATTGTCTACCACACAAATAAAACAGAAATTCAATTCCAACCATCATCTCCTCAGGATCAAAGTCAAATTCAGTTTCAGCCATTTACTCCCTCACTTGCATACTAGAGGAAAAAAAGGAAAACCATAAACAAAAATGAGAGGAGCAGCAATACGCCTCCATGAAATGTGCGAACCGTGAAATTAAATAGTTCATTGTACACAAAGCACCAGCCTGAAAAAGCATAACAAAATGACTCTCCCTCAGAGTTTATTTATACCAAACTTGCAGTTACTACATGGCATATTTGCAGAAACATTCACCAGAAAAAGTCTGAGCTATAAAAGGTCAAAAGTAGTACTTATTTTAGTTTTATCCACCACTACTACAATAAACCCATGAGTAGGCCTACATTATATATGGACAGCTACACTGAATTAAAGGGAATCTTATTTGATTACAGATTTATGAACAGCCTCGAATTCAATTTAGATCTTGGATTACATGCATCACTTTGCAGATACAACATGGTGCCACCTCTGACAAGAGTGAAGAAAGCTGCACTATTTCTAGAAGAACACTTCGCTTCCAGCCACTTATTCAGTCGTTGATCTCTTCTGAGGAGAAACTGGCATGAATAAATGTGACTGAATGAGGACAGACTGAAATAGCTTAATTGAAGATCAGATCAACACATCTCAGATACAATCCTGTGAATTACACATTAATCATTCCTGAGGTTGATGTTCATGAGAGAGAGGGACACACATGGGAGGAATTAAATGTGCATTGTAGGATGTATACAAATTAACAGTTACAATATTCAAAATGCACAGCTATTTGTCATGCCACTAACAGCACATTAAACTGACAGAAAGACGGGGGAGATGGATAATGTATGAAATAAGAGGCAAGCAATAAAGAAATAATGAAACCCTATAATTTAGCCTAATGGGGGCGTTCACACAAGGACGCGTTCCCTCTGCGTTCATTCACATCACATGTGTGACTTTGCTCGAAGTGATATCAGTGTTGTATTTTGTGTGTACTCAAAAGTAGCAGCCTACTTTAAATACTTTTTACAAGCCAACAACAATTTCGAGTTTCGAGTCAGACATGATGAATAACGTGCGGTTCAAGTGAGTTTGGTTAATCTAATAAGTAGTCAGCTCAATTCTATCACAACTGCCCTGTGGCGTTACCAGTTCATTCGAGTCATTGGTTCAGAAATCAGACTCGCGTCGCGTTATGTTTGTGGTCAACTTAAAAGAATCGTTTTATAGGAGAAATTTGTTCGAGAATCGGACTACCTTGGTCGTGCTGAATTTTGACTCCCTAAAAAAGCTTATATACACATCCTCTGTTCGGGAACTGAACTAGAATGTATTTGCTTGATTCACTAAACGAACTGGCTTTGTAGGAATCACACTACATTCGCAGCGCTGTATTCGATTCACTAAAAAGAACCGGCTAAAATAATAATTTGTTCGGTATCCGAACTACACAGTATTTGCTTCATTCACTAAAAGAATCGGCTCTTAATACTCGTTTGTACAGGAATCAGACTATCCTGCGCAGTTTTGTGATTCACTCAAAAGAACCGGATAAAATAATCATTTGTTCGGAGTCTACATGGATTCACTAAAAGAATCGGCTCTCAATACTTTTTTTGTTGTTCAGGAATCGGACTACATTTGTCACGCTGTATGTTTTTTGATATTCAGAACCAACTAGGAGCCATCCATTCGTAATTGAACTACACCAACATGATTTTGAAACAATAAAAGAAGCCAGTCATTACAGTCATGCGTTAAGAGAATCGAGCTATATGCTTGCTATGTTTCGCGCCGTAGAACCTGTAGCGGTGCTGAGCAAGAAACACTAACGTTCGTGACAGATTTAATACGGTGTTCCGTGACCGTCCGCATCAGCAGGTTCGAGAACCGTTAAAAAAAAAACAACAACAACAATCACTTAATTATGAAACCTTCAATCACGACAGTAATTCAGTTCCGGTATTATAACAAAATAAATAATGACATCTTAAATGTGTTGCGCTCCTTCTAGTTGCCATTAAGGCATCCTGTGTGAACGCCCACTAACAATAACACACGCACAGCAGTGTGTACATGCAAGGTAAGGCAGGCAGGTGCAGCCCGGCTTTGTTCTAAAACTGAGAGCTAAATAACAGTGCATCTTCTCACCTCAACAGGATACACGCGTCTGTCCTCGATGCGCTGCCCACACTGTCCCTCCATGCAGTCAATACACAAATACAGAAGTCATGCTGTTAAATCGCTGTTAAATGCCGCTCAGTTCACAGTCAGCGGAAACTCACGCCTGTCTGGACACAGTCCCGTGCGCGTCGGTGCGGCGCGGACATTTCAACACACATGCGGCACATTTAAACCACGTGAGAGTGCATAACCGCTGCGTTCAGCAAAGCAACCAGCACGCAACACATCCACAACAATAACCGAGCAGATCCAAACACGGCTGAACGAAACCATCAACATCAGCATCATAATCCTTACAAAACCACATCAGCTCAGATGTGCCGCTGTCTCTTACCTGCGGTGCTGAAGCCACTCTGTTTCCAATCCGGACTCAGTCCGCCCAGAACCGCCGCCTCGAGCTGCAGCATCTTCATCCTCGTCAACCCTCAGCAGAGAAATGAGACACGCGTCACGTCGCTCAAGACCTGCTCTGGCTGTGAATGTGAGGTGTGAAGGGTTCGTGTGCTCACTGTGATGTGTTTGATTTCTGCCCATGTGCTGCAAGTGTCATCAGTGAGCAGCCATGACAGCGACGTGGTGCATTATGGGATACTTAATAAGGCAATGCCGCTAAGGGAACGTCGAGATTTGACCAGACGCTCAAATGGACGCAACATAAAATCAGTATTGGATTATTACATGATTGAAGCAAGCAACACATGGCTTTTATGCAAATTCCAAGTATAATTAACCATTATATTGTCTTTTTCTTTTTCTTAAAGAATAGGATATAAGTAACGAACCTTTTGGTATCATCTATCTATCTATCTATCTATCTATCTATCTATCTAATATTCAAATTACTTAACCTCTGGCCTTTCATCACGCAACATAAAATCAGTATTGGATTATTACATGATTGAAGCAAGCAACACATGGCTTTTATGCAAATTCCAAGTATAATTAACCATTATATTGTCTTTTTCTTTTTCTTAAAGAATAGGATATAAGTAACGAACCTTTTGGTATCATCTATCTATCTATCTATCTATCTATCTATCTATCTATCTATCTATCTATCTATCTAATATTCAAATTACTTAACCTCTGGCCTTTCATTATTTATTTGTTTGTTTGTAAATCTAATACTCAAATTCAGCCCAAAATGTATTTTATATACTATTATATAATATTATTTCCTATTATAATTATACAATTAGTACAACAATAAAATAATACAATTTCCTTCAGAATCCCTCATTTTTTATTAGTCACTGCTCTCTTTTGTATTTTAATGGAGCTAACATGTAGTTTGAAACTTTTTAGCTTGTGTTTGTGCTAACCATAAAGCTCTAAGGCAATTCAAAGAAAGTGGAAAAATTAGCATATCAAAAAGAAGAAATATATGCCTAGTTTCTACTTTCAGAGACGATTCCTTTCTTTTTTTTAAAGAAACTTTTATTCACTGAGCCCTTTTCCTCTCATCATTCTTACTTCGAGATATTAATTATATCTGTCCCTTTTTTCCAATAAAGTTTTTGATTATTTTAAGCAGGCACAGAGCTGTGAATATAAAGCTTCCTGTGCAGATGAACACTATATCTGTACCAAATGACTGACTGCTAGCATAAGGGAACCTGAGGGGGCTGTTGACTCCTGGAACCCTCCTGTTCTGTCTCTCTCATGCCTCTGATGCTTCTGGCGGTAGCAGAAGGTCATTCTCTTTACAAAAATCAAGCAGATGATTCGTCTTGATTACACGGAGTGGCAGAGGACTGCTGGAGTCCGGAAGGTTTGGCAGTGTGTAACGCGTGTTTGTGTGAGTGTGTGTGTCAGATATAAGGAGAGACCCCTAAGGACAGGTCAAAAATACATTCACACACTCAAATGCAGAATGATGTGTCGTATTAGACGTGAAATGACCGCGATGGAAACTGTGACCCATTACATCAAATGTGACATTAAAGGTCAAATACATTTGTGATCACATGTTCACTGAAATGTAGTTGCTGTATGTTTGTTGTTTTGGTGTACGCTGTTTTTGTGCTGATTTTAACACTGAGCACTTCAATTACATTCTATAGCTGTTTTCAATCGTTCTTCCTCTCTCTTGAGCAGAGAGGAAAGGTAATTACAGAGGCAAGATATGGCTGTATTTTAACACTCATTAGCCTAGAGAAATGTCTGGCTATAGGACCAGAACCAGAATGCAATGTGAACTATGGGTTTCTTTATGTGTGAGCTGCTTCATTTTATTATAATGTGTCAGCTAATTATACTACTTTCCTGGAAATGTGTTTGATGAAAGAATGATTGTTCTCCAATGGATTTAATCAAATAATCAATATAAACATAGCAAAATGTGTGTATGTGTGGGTGTATATATAAAATCCAGAAAAAAAAACAGAAAAAACACATTATATAAAGGTTATATATAAAGGTTTATATAAACATGACTTAGTACTTGGTGCATAAACCCTTGTTGGCAAGCACAGAGGTAAGACGTTTTTTGTAGCTGGTCACCGGGTTTGCTTCTTGCTGATGGTCTTGTAGCCCATTCAAGCCTTGTGCAGATCTACAATCTTGTTTCTGACATCCTTTGTCAGCTCTTTGGTCTTGCCCATGGTGGTGTTAGAGGTTGGAATGGAAGATATACAGATTGTGTGGACAGGTGTCTTATATACCTAACGAGCTGACATTAGGAGTAACTTCTTAAAGTCACAGGACTAATCTGTGTTCCACATGGGCACATAACCAATCTGTGGGAGCCATAATTCTTGCTGGTTGGTAGGGGATCAAATACTTATTTCACTCACTGAAATGCAAATCAATTTCTAACCTTTATATATG